TGAGTTTGTGTCGCTTGAAGCACAAGCATGAAATCAGTGTGTTCCATCTGTATGAAGTGCCTCCAGCTCTGATAGATGGCCAAGAACCAGCGAAGAGAGCGACACACACACACACACTCTCTCTCTCTCAGGTGTGTGTGATCTGGCTTCTCCACTAGATGTCTCTGTGAAGTCGTGTTGATGCTGCAGGCACTGCAAACTCAACTTCATCAAACAACAGGAGGCAGATGGAGATTTACTGCCTGTGAAAGACTTTCAGAAGCCAGAGACTATCAAAACTTCATCAGATTCATTATACAGTTATATCTGTAACTTGCACGATGCTTTATGGATGAGTTTTAGTAGTTTAAGCTTTTCCATAGCAGTTTTGTATGGATATTTACCAATAGAGGGAGACAGAGACTTTAAACTGATCTGCTTTAAAGAGGCTGAGAGGTTTTATGGGACAAAGATAATGAAGGAGAATGTGTTTTTTTACAGTAGAACACAGTTGCTCTCCAGCTGTGTTCTAGGAGATTGTACTTTGTTTAAAAAGCATGGTAATACTATGGTACTTCAATAAGTACCATATCATATTCATAGATATTTACATGGTCTTCCAAAAAACTGTAAAGAATACCATGTTACCACAGGTTTACCATGGTAAAAATGACCATATTCAAATACTATGATATTTACATGGTACACCAAGCTACTGCACAGAAGAACAACAAAAAAAATACTACAATAGTAAAGCACTACAAACAATTTTGACATAAAATAGAAAAAAAAAATCAATACAATTAAAAAAAAAATTAATACAATAAAATACTAATCATCTCAGTGTGTGTAGGCTATTTAAAAAAAAACTTCTTGAAGCTGTCTAATGTGGGAGCATTTCTGACAGTAAGAGGAACTGCACTCCATAACAGAAAAGGCTCTCTCACCCATGGATTTTAATCTATACGGTGGCTGCTGAAGAGTGAAAGAATCAACAGAGCAAAGAGAGCGAGAGGGCACATAAAGCGTAACTAAGTCACAGATATAAGAAGGGGTCATTCCATGCACAGCTTTGTACATTAAAATAAGAGTTTTAAAATCAATCTGCGACTGAACAGGAAGCCAGTGCAGACTATAGAGGATGCCTGTAATGTGCTGACATGGAGTATAGGTGAGAAGACGTGCTGCTGAATTCTGGATATACTGTAGCTCTCTTTATGGATAGCAGCTGGTGTGCCAATGAGAAGATCCTTTTTTTTTTAAATGACGGTGCATCCACATTTTTATTTTCTGCACACTCTCAGAAAGAACGGAAGAAGTGTCATTAATATCAGACTTAGAGCAGATATAAATATGAGTGTCATCAGCATAAAAGTGATAACCTAAACCATAATTCCTAATAATTTTCCCCAAAGGAAGCATATAAATGCGTAACAATATAGGACCCAAAACGGATCCTTGAGGAACACCATGGCGGACCTGTCCAACATCAGATTTATTGTTTCCCGAGACAACAAACTGGGAACGATCTGTAAGGTAGGATTTAAACTATTTAAGCACAGTACCAGAGATACCAAGCCAACTCTCAAATCTATTAAGCAGAATGGAGTGGCACAGTGTCAAAAGCTGCAGTAAGATCTAACAACACCAAGATGGTAGAGGCTCCAGAGTCAGCGGAGACAAGCAGGTCATTCATGACTCAAACCAAGGCAGTCTCTGTACTGTGTCCTTCTCTAAACCCAGAATGGAAAGGCTCAAAGAGCTTGTAGAATGACAAGTGAGAGTATAGTTGAGTCACAATGACACGTTCCAAAACCTTAGCAAGAAAGGGACGATTTGAGATCGGCCTGTAGTTTGACAGATCAGATTGATCACATCCAGGCTTTTTAAGGACTGGTGTGATAGCTGCAACCTTAAGGACTTCTGGAACAATACCAGTAGTACGGGAGATGTTCACAATAGGGATGTAACGATTAACTGCGAGCCGGTTGAAAATCGATTCAAATATGTTACGATTCAAATCGGTTGAGATGCTAAACAAATCGTGATTCAGTTAGGGGCAGGAGTTTATATGATTGTATGTCTGAGGGGAACTTACTGTCTTTAGAAAAGTTTAGATGGTATTTTTTCTTGTCATCTTGTCTCTGTATAAAGCATATTAAAGTTTGTAAGTTCAGCGCTGCTTTGTTTACAGCGGTAACCAGGAAACGGTTTAAGCGCCACCTGCTGGCAGAGAGTGAATCTGCATCTCATTCAGCTTTGCTGTTTCATGCAGATATTTTTATTTATAGTTTCACAAAACTGAAGTCAAACCATTCTGTTTTTGCTTCAAATTTCGAAACAATTTCACAAAGAAATGTGCAGCATTTTCTCCAAGCAATAATAAAAGGACACATTTAATTTATAATTTGTCAAATCTAATTTTGTTAAAAAAATTATAATAATCGTGAATCGAATCGTGAAATCAAAACCGTGAATCGGATCGAATCGTGAGTTGAGTGAATCATTACATCCCTAGTTCACAATGTTCAAAATTAAGGGACGTATTGATGGCAAACACTCAGCTGTTGGGATCGAGAATACATGTAGTTGTATTCACTGCTATCACTAATTTCAAAATACAATCAGTTGTAACTGTTAGAAAATGTAGTTTCAGGAGTCACAGGAAATGCAGAACAGGGTGCCAAACTAATAGAATTATGAATGTTCCAAGAAGAAATTGAGAAAGTTGTTACAGTCACACACAGAGGAACAAATCATTGGCTTAACAGGTAAAAAAAGTTTGTTGATAGTCTTAAAAATCATGTTCAGGTTTGCAGTACCATCACTAATAATGGACGTGTAGTACTTCGTTCTTGCCGCTTTAAGTGCTTCACTGACTTGACCCAAGTGTTCATCCTACATAAACTTATGGACAGTCAATCCTGATTTCTTATACCGGCGTTCAAGCTGCCTACTTATAGCCTCAAGAGCTCTGAGCTCAATGGTGTACCATGGGTAAGATTTAGTAAATGAAACAAAATGTTCTCTCCTAGGGGCAAACACGTCCAAAGCAGATGATAACACAGAACTAACAATTGTAAGCAATTCTGAGTTCACTAAAAAGCAGAGGATTAGGTTTTGGAGGACGGTAGACGATAAAACAAGAACGGGAGGTACCATTCATTTTGAAAGCTATACATTCAAAAGATGACACACAGGGAATGGTATATTCAGTGACCGATATATCTGCTCTGTAGATAACTGCAAGACCGCCACCTTTACCACTTAGACGTGGCCTGTCAATGTATGTATAACCTACTCATATTTAGATTTATGAAGTAATTCGGCTGATGCCAAGTTTCACAGACAGAAGAAATCCAGTCTTTTGTTTAATATAATATCATAGAGTAAAGCAGTCTTATCGTGCGCCAGCGTTCTCCCCACCGGAAGTGGTACCATGGTTAAAAAAATGGTAAAACTATGGTAATTTGATAAATACCATGGTACTAAACGATTTGCATGGCAAACCAAGGTACTGTACAAAAAAACAAAAACAAACAAAAAACCATGGTATCACAGAATTAACGTGGTAAAACATGGTTTTAGGTTCCAAAACATGGAGTTGGTACTCAGTGATAACCATATTCATATACCATGATTTTTATATGGTACTCCAATCAAATTTTGAAAATATCATGGAACCATAGTATTACCATGGTAAAAAATGTGGTAATACTAAGGTAATTTGATAAATACCATGGTACTCGATGATTTCCAGATTCATAAACAACGATATTTACATGGTACTCCAAGAAGCTTGAAAGAATACCATCGTACCAGAGTATTACTATAGTAAAAAGCATGGTAGCTTTGGTAAAAAACCATGGTACTGAATGATTAGACCATGAGATGCGCAGTGCATTAGCACTTCAAGTAATAGCTAACAAGTTAAAATCACTCTACCTATCTAGTAAAACAGCATTACCACGGTACTCGGAGCAGTAAGTGTTTCTGTTCAGTGAGTTTGAAGCCGCTGACGGTGACCTCAATCAGACCCACAGCCGCAGATTTACCTCCAAAATCACGACTGCGAGATTATCTCTCGATACTTCCGCTCAAGCACGCTGGTAAATGTCACCGGCTTTTCAATTAATTTCAATTAATCACCCGCGGGACTAACGAGCGCCGGGATCACAGTGGGCTCTAACGAGGGCGCTGTGATTAATTAAGGTCTTCTTTTTCCACCCCTGCCTGCAAATGTTAAATGCCACAGAGAATATGATCCATTGTTTCACGAGACAACATGAAGTTCTCGTTAGAGTTTAACCCCTTGAAGACTAATGAGATCGTAGATTAGAATGGCTGCGTAGAGTTTGTTTACATGACGAATCTGCTCTGATGTCACACCAAATGCATTAACGACTTACTATAAACACTATTTCATGTGCATTTCATGGGAAATGAACCAGCTACATTTGTGCTTCCATTCATGTTTATGTTTAATTCGAATCAAGCGCCTTCCAGCCTCTTCACAGATTATTTTATTTCAAATTTACACAGGACACATTCTTATGGAAGCCCGTTTCTGCCACTGAAAATAAAAAATAAAAAGTTGCATGATATAAACTCGCAATTGCAAGAAAAAAAAAGTCAGAATTGTGAGATAAAAAGGCGCAATTACCTTTTTTTTATTTAGTGGCGGAAACGGGCTTCCATTCTTGCCTTCAAGAACCATTGAACTGTTTTTAAAGGTAAGGTGTGTAAACAGACCTACAATACTCCTTTGTCGCTGTTTGTTCAACAATATCGCTTTATTGCTTCGGAAACCGCTCTACTCGCGCGTCAGTTAGCTGACTGAATGATTCAGACCGATTCGCGAACCGATTCATAAAGAATCGCGAACCGAGTTGAGACTAGATTCAGACATAATCGCGAACCGAATTGAGACTCGATTAAGAAAGAATCGCGAACCGAATTGAGACTCGATTAAGAAAGAATCGCGAACCGAATTGAGACTAGATTCACTCATAATCGCGAACCAAATCGCGAACTGATTCAGATCGCTTTACTGAGCTGTTTGACCAATTCATGAAAACGAACCGACTCAAAATAATGATTCATTTGGAACACGGCAGCAAATACGAGACACAAGACAACATATTGTAGGACAAAATGATTCTACGGTCAGTAAATGGTATTCAGTTTCTCCAGAAAAGGATTTATCAATAAATATTTACCTGATAGTTTGGCTTGATAAATTGATGCCACCAAGAAAGTCAGTTCAGCAAACAGGCATTCTCAGAAAGTTCTGGTTAGGTCCTCTCAAAGTTATGAACAAACATTTGTCAAAGTTATCTAGTTTTTAATAGTGTTCGCAACACGTTACTAGCACAAAAACATTACCATGCATTTAATATTTTTTATTTATTTATTTTTCCTGAAACATTTTGGTTGGAACATCTAACGGTTTTTAAATGTTACTTGTTTCAGAATCAGATAATATTTAAAAGTAACGTTCCCATTATGTTCCCTTTGTGTTTTAAAAACCTGGACGTTTTGAATAGTAAGAGAACCTTCAGAGATACTTCAACAGAAAATATCATGACTCGTGCATCTTCTAATACATTTGACTTCATGAAAAGCAAGTTTATTTAGGATTAGCCTACAATTTTTTTTTCCTTCAGAACTTGTTGCAACACATAGGTACATTAGGAGGAAGAAAATCACAATGTGTTTCATGTCAAAAGGTTTTAGAGCCTGACTTTGCAATAACAGACATTGGGATGCAACATTATTCAACACAGAAGATCCTCCAGTGACCGTGAAAACTGCTCCTGAATCAGTGAGTCTAAGAGGGGCTCGTAAACGTCCTTAAAACAATGCAAAAAGCCATTTCCATAATAAGCAGCCACCTGTGAGCCGTTCAGCAGCTTTTATTGATGCGCTCCGGCTGATCAGAGCAGCATTATTCCAGCCTCTGGGAAATATGGAAATCAACAGGCACTGCTGACGAATAACAAAATTGAATTTGTGTCTGATGGCACTGAGCAGAAATGTTAAACTGTTATTTGCCCAGGAACGGGTAATATGATTCTCCACTCGTCCCACGGGCCCCAAACAAAAGAAATGCCGTGTAATTAGGTAGAAGATATCAGCAAAACGCATGCGCCAGTGTCTGTATTATGGAAGGCCGTTTCCGCCATGCGATTAAAAAAATGAAAAATAAAACAAGCTAATTGCAACTAGGGTTGCAAAAAGTTGGAAAATTTACAATAAATTTCGGAAATATTCCAGAAATTTTGGAAACTTTCCAGGATTTTTTGGAATATTCCATGGATTTTTGGAAATTTACCAGAAATGTTCCACCCCTTTGCAACCCTAATTGCAACTTATTTCACAATTTAGACTTTTTTTTGTTGCAATTCTAGACTAAAATCTGAATTTTTGAGGGAAAAAATAATTGCGAGATATAAACTCAGAATTAGAATTTTTGCAATTATGAGTTTATATCACAATTCTGTCTTTTTACCTCGCTACTCTCACAATTGATTCTGAGATTCTGAGAAAAAAGAGTCGGAAATGTGAAATAAACAGTTGTAAGAATTTTCAACACAGAATTGTGAGATATATATATTAGGGGTTGCACCGACTAATCGAATAGTCGACTTCAATGCTCTGCCATGACGCTTTAAGCTTGACGTCGACTAGTCGCTGGTCCTATAGAGGGCGCAACAGGATAAGAAATCTTTGAAGGACTTCCACATTTACGCTCAGTTTTCAAACAGTTAAAATGACAAATAAATGCATACTCTGAAAGCGCTCCACAAGACGTGTGATTATATTACTAGATGCTCGAAACGGGAGAATGCACTTTTTAAACAGCTTGTACAGGTAAGTTAATCGCCGTTCTAATCTAATGTGCTGCTGCACTGTAACGCACACACATTACAGACAGTAGCTCGTACATCACGCGCACAGAATCATTCAGCGCGGAAATGTATTGTCAACACTGTTCTGTGATTTCTCAATAAAATAGCTTAGAAACTGAAAAGTCCAAGCATATATTTCTTAATAACTAAATCCCACAGCTTCACTACTAGTAGAGAGACGCTGCCAGGTAGAATTAATTCACACACGCAATCGCTCTCACTAATGCATTCATATTAATGTAATCTTTACTGTGCTGCTTTATCTGTATCTGATTTAGAACGAGCAGAAATCTGTGAGAAATATAACGACCCAAAGACAAAAGAACGGATAAAAAAGCTATTATAGGAGCAATAGCCGTGTGGGCAGCGCTGTGTCATATGCCATAGCTGTGCACAAGCTGTTTATCACAGCTCCAGACTTATTTGTTCTTTAATCAGCGACTAGTCGACTTCGACTCGACTTTCATCATAAAAGTCGACTTTAAAAAATCAGAAGTCGTTCAACCCCTAATATATACGTATATATATTTAATCCTGTGGTGGAAACAAGCTTCCATACTATTTTAGGTTTTTAGATCAGTATTATAGGTTTGTAGACATTTTTAATGACACGCTTTTATAATAAAAATGAAAAGTTGTAGTTAATAGTCTCTTATTGGCCTGATTAACCAAGCTCTCCATAAAACAAACAAAACAAGGCCTACAAATTAATAAAATAATAGTATTTTAAGATTTGTTCATTGCATTTAATAGATTACACTCTTAACAAAACACAGGTGTTTTTATGCATGTTTTTGTTGCGTTTAACAACAGCATGTGGCTTTTCGAGCGAAAGTGAATCATTTGGATAAACTGATTCAAAGCTTTGAAAAACTATTAAAGCAAAGTTGGTGTCGCCTACTGGTTAACGATTTGAGCTGGTGACCAAAAGCTTTTAGGATCAGACACCTCACAAGTACAGGGACTGCAGATGCAAATTAGCTTTATAGCTAACTCTGGCACAACACTGTTGTTGTGCGTTGTCCCTATACAAATAAATTGAATAAATAAAAAATAAAATGTTTACCCCAGTGCCAAATAAAATCACTTTTTCCAGTCGAATATCCTTTTTGTCACATTACTGAGGTTACATGGTGCGGATACAGTTTCATACAAGCTTCTGCTGAATACTTACAACATACTGAGTCTAATGTGATGCAGCTGTGTAAATGATGTGCACTACACAATCTTTTTGAACAACTTCTAATGAAATTATTTTCAGCCAACAAACTAGATGCAAATTAGCTTTATAGCTAACTCTGGCACAACACTGTTCTTGTGCGTTGTCCCTATACAAATAAATTGAATAAATAAAAAAATAAAATAAGTTTACCCCAGTGCCAAATAAAATCACTTTTTCCAGTCGAATATCCTTTTTGTCACATTACAGAGGTTACATGGTGCGGATACAGTTTCATACAAGCTTCTGCTGAATACTTACAACATACTGAGTCTAATGTGATGCAGCTGTGTAAATGATGTGCACTACACAATCTTTTTGAACAACTTCTAATGAAATTATTTTCAGCCAACAAACTACATTGAATTGGAGGAATTTAGTTTGTAGCATAATCATGGGTTTTTAAGTTGATGGCTTAAAAAAAAAAAGTTAAACCAATGAATCAGACGTTTTTTCCACTAGAAACCATGCATTTATTTAAGCTGTGTTAACAGGAGTTCGGGCAGCATATATGGCATGTAAGTGCATGGATTGTGATGCTGCCGCAGTATTTATTCAGTAGTCAATGACTGTAGTTGATTTTGATTTATGTGAAGACCTCCTCCAGCTCCTGTAGCCCCTGGGCACTGAACGATGTTCAAACCTCGTATCCCATGATGCATTATTCCTGAGCCCACCGGCGTCTGGCAGCAGCTCCTCAGTCCTGCGGTGGGAATGAGCGCATGTGCCAGACGCTCTGTGTCTCCGCTCTGTTATTGGCCTTCACGTTTTCCAAACTAACTATACTAGCACTAAGTGATCAGACTTACATTTTCACCTGCTGGATAACAAACCCACAGAACTGAGACAAATCTACAGACCAGAAGACAGGAAGAAATGCCTAAAAATCACCCACAAGACCCCAGCAAACACAAAACAGCGCCCTAGCAACCATCCATCACACCTTAGCGACACCCTGGCAACCATCTGCATCACTCTAACATCATAACGATGAGTTTGCACAGGCAAAAACTGCTCACAGTTACTCCAGAAACTACAAATTTAGTTTAGTACTAAAATATTCCC